TAATCTGTAATTTGATGCCGTTTGAAGATTTTTCCATCTTTCCTTGGCTTCTTTATGCACATTAATACAAATTTGTAGCTGGGGTGCCCAAACTTTCGATTCCCACTGTAAGTGTATGAACTACTTGCTTCTCACTAAGAATATAATTCAGCTGTAGTGGGGAGGTTCCTGAGATCTTAAAGGGGACGTCCATGCTCCTAGGACCATTCTGTGTCCAATCTCTCAGGTAGGATTGTCAAGCTGGGCTCCAGCAGGAAGTAAGTGCCATTGCTTGACCAATTGAAAGCAATTTTCCACGTTATATATTGGAATTTTCTTACCATTCCATGTGACAATTAGTTTCATGGGGAAACCCCATCTGCAGGGAACATTGTAGTTCCGTAAAGCTTTGGTGAGTGGAGCAAGTTTCTTGTGTTTAAGTGCAGTTTGTTGTGATATGTCTGTATATAAGGAGATCCCTGCAAACTGATCCGAGGTTACTGGGTTTTGTTTAGCAGCACCCTAATTTTTTCTTTAACATGGAAGTAGTGAATTCTCACCAGTGTATCTATCTGTGCTGTGTCCGAAAGAAATCTAGGCTTAAGGATACGATGCGCTCTATCAATACATAGCTCAATGTCACTCAGGGTAGGAATTAGAGCTTTCATAAGGCGCTGGACATATGTGGTTAGCTCAAGTGGTGCAACAGATTCCGGAATACCTCTAAACTTTATGTTGTTACGTCTTGAACAGTCTTCTAATACAGCAATTTTGTTATGTAATTATTGGATCTCAGATTCTTGATCAGCATATGAATCCACTAAATTGTTAAGGGCAGAGTAAAGATCCTCCACTTTAGATTCAATATGATTTATCTTGTCCTCGGGTGATTGTACAGTGTCCTTAAGGGAGGCAAACATATCTGAGAAATCTGCCAGAAGAGACCTTTTCATAGAAAGTAACATGTTTTTCATTATGTTCTATTACATGGGCTGATCATTACCAGGACATTCTTCAATAGGGTGCTCATTTTCAATATATAATCTGAGGATTCTGAGGGGAAAACAGGCCGCTGCTTACTAGTGTTAGCTTCATCCTCCCAACGCTGTTTAGATTTGGCTGGGCTGCTTGTGGTAGGAGTATCAGGAGGGGAGCACTCACCTAGGTGTCCTTGTGGGTCCAGTCCCTGCTCACCCTGCTGTGAGGCCGCAGCGTGCTGTGGGGGTTTACTAGGATTAGGGCCAGCGCCATCTTGCTTCCCTCTATGTCCCGCTGCAGAGTAGAAATTAGTGAGACGTTGAGGCTGTTTGGACTGCTTCCTCCTCTTGGACATAGTACAGGTATGTTCAGGAGGAGCTGGAAAGTAAAAAGTGGGTGGTAGGAATCTCCCCTAGTCGCTGCTATAGCCACCAGGAGAAGTGAGCCAGCAGAAGCCCCGGATCAGGCGGCCATCATCCTTGCCAGCACGCCCCCCCCCCCCCCCCCCCACAATTTTAAGTAATTTTAAGGCATCAGACTAAAATTGTCTATCGGCATGTTGTAAATGTTGACAACAGGCTTTTCCAAATGTTTGTCCCAACCAGACTTTTCTAAATGTTTGTCCTTTAACTGTGATAGCTGTGAATAATATTTTGTCAACATTTCCAATATTTCGAGGACAGAGTTGGATATACACAAGACACGCTTGACACAGCTTACAAAGCTATAGAAAAGAAGTTATTCTTTTAATTAAATAAGGGTCATTTTAAAGAAATGTTAGAGACTTCAATACATTCATACTATTTTCATATAAAAAAAAATCCTGTGGTCTTGGAGAGTTAAAGCAAAACATTATCAGGAGAGCATATACTATAGCTACCCATAAAAAACAACCTCTTGATCTTGCAAACATAAAACAGCTTTCCCATCTACTTGTAAGTCTGCAATATTCCCACTTACCCTACAATTGCATAAACAAGCAAAGAATATCAATCAGTAGCTGCTCTTTGCACAAATGCAGCAAATCAGGCAGTCTGTGGTTGTTTGAGTCCCCTGTTCTCAGATTATTAGGGATTTGTGACATTTACAGAAGGCCTTCAGTTGAGTACAACTTATCAAAAGGGAGAACAACAGCACAACAAAGGTAGTTTACCTATACATTATGTTAAAGACAGCACAGACTGTCAAGCAGTAATGTTAGGAAGATGACAAATTTCAGGGACTCACTTCAATAGTGATGTGATTACTTCCCTTGACTTCTTATCATGCAGCAGGTGCATGCCATTGCTGACACCTGAAGCAAAACCAAAAGGTGCTTACACACTGCTGGTCATTCACTACTCATTAGTTATTAAATTGTTAACTGGAAGTAATTATTTTGCACATCCAAGCCATACAAGGAACCTGAAAAATGTATCATGTTGCTTCGTAATTGTAGGATATTAAACTTTAATGCTTGTTTACACTTGCATTTGGGGGTTGTAAAAACAGATAGTTGGTGGTTGAGACACATTTTTTCTGCCCCCAACCACCCTTGCATAAGTTTCAAAGGCAGCCATATAGGGGTTCTACATATGCCCCAGATGCAATGTTTTCCTTCACACTTCTTCAATGATTATACTTCCTGTCGCATTTGGAGGACCAAAATCAGAGGTCTGAATTTTTAATTGGATGTGGCTTATTTTTATGAATGAAAAGTTCCTCCTCTTGCATCAGCCTAAACACTCGAACCTTCTAACACATGAGAATCTCCTGTTACCTTTATTGAGGTCTAGCCTAATATATATTTAAATAGTAAATTTAATAGTGTTACTTTGTTATTTTTATATTGAATGTACAATACACACGATGAGTCTTCATTCTTTTAGAAATGTTGTCCTCAGAGCCTGGGTCTGAACCTAGGCTTTCTGCAGTGAGTGGCAATGTTTCTTCTTGCTGAGCCACCTGGAATGCTGGACAGCTCCCTTGACAATTACTTGGATGATCCTACCTTGACCTTGTTTATCATGGACCTTGAACCCCTTGCTCCTCCCATGAACTTCCTGATATAAGTCATGTCTCTGCACTTGCTGTTTGACATATTATTGTGCTCTCCAGCAAGTATTGTGCACCTTATCATTGCTGCTGTTATCTGTATTTTGCTATCACTCGTTATTGACCCTTGGCTTTTTCTCGACTACGCTTCTGCCTGATCCCAACCTGCGACTGCTCCTTACCAACCTTGGCTTGTTTACTGACCATGCTTCTGTTTGATCCTTACCGGTTTATACTCTACTGGACCTCCGCTTGCTCACCTCCTGGTGGGGTGATCCTGAGGACCGCGACCTGGTGCAAACACACAGCCAAATCCATCTCCACCATTAGGAGCTCTGGTGAACACTGGTTGGTACTTAGACTCCACACCTCGGGTGATCCCACTCCTCCACCATGGTGGCCTGCCTGTGTACCTATCCTGCTGGTTTCAGGTAAGGCTTTCCACTGCTATAGCAACTGGTCTTTGAGCCTGACCCCTGATCGTGACAGTTGTATCTCTTTGTGTGGCTGTCTTCACATAATGTTTTTATTTAAAGAGGAACTTAAGTTGTTTTTTTCTTTTTATTAAATCATCAGCTAAAAATACTGTAGCTGTTGATGTGTAAAAATCAGGTACCTACCAATGCCTAGGTCCAGTGCTATCTTGGACATGGAAGCCAACTCGGGCTTCCTAAGCTGGCTCCCCACTGCACATGCATGCACCTGGATGGCACTTTTTGAATTATCCTGAAGGCTCTGGGAAGGGAGAGGGAGGGGTAAGGGATGTCATCCTTATCTAGGTGAGAATTGTTGACCTGGGAGCAGGTGCTGATAAAAAATTGGTACTTGTCCCCCCTCACCACCACCAAAAAAAAATACTTGCAACTCAGTCACAGTCTAGAGAGAGAGATCAAATCAGTTGTACTTCACCTTTTGAATGATGTTGCGCTTTAAACTTTTTTTTCCTTAACTTTTTTCTTTAGTGACAAGAAACCCACTAATCAATTTCAGCTTCAATGATTAACACTCTTGAGGCGATATGTGATTAAATAGCATATGAAACAACAGGAATCTCACACCTCCTGTTGCATTGTTTTTGTTTTTATGGATGTGCTACAATAAACAAGTTAATTTTACTGGAATGCACTCATCCTATGCTTTCTACATGATGTGGTACAATTGCAAGCTGGACTGGCACCTGTTTAGGCAGATACAACCTGGAGCAGTATTGTATAGCATAATTCACTTTGGTATGTTAGAGAGACAAAGGCTGTTTTGAAACTATATATTTAGCAGCAAGATCAAGTCAACTCTGCTTCTAGAGTTTGGGCATAGTCACACAGTGACCCACTGAACAGTGGAAGGTAGAGTTCTACCAAGGCAGATATAAAAAACATTTATGCAGTTCTGTAATCATCAATACATGATTAGATGATTTTTTTTTTTTATGAAAGCTGTGTAAATACCTGAATTTAACTGGATACTAGTCTCCCAAAGTCTCTATAGCAGAGTTGGAATGTGAGAGGAGAAGCAGCACATGGAGCCAATCAGTTAATGTGCTTACAAGGTGCATGCTGAAAGGAGGAGACAGCAGAGAGACAGAAAGATGAGCTAGACACTCTGCTGCTTCTCCTTTCGGTGTCCATTAACAGGCTGTGGCAGGTCCAAGAGGAAGGAATCAGGATGCAGAGTATTGGCCACCAGAGAGAATACATCTAGAGGTGAAAAAAAATACTTCAGGGAAAATCTGGACTGAAGCTGAATATCGCAGCAGAAGTTTATTTTGTAATTTACCTTTGATGGGGGACTTTAACCACTTACTGTCTGCCCTATAGCAGAAATACTGCTACATGGTGGCATGTATGCTCAACATCACGTGTATATATACGTGATTTTGCATCTCCGGGTAGGGGGTGCGCACGAGGCACGTGCACACCCTACCCGCTCCACCATTCGCAGCTGCAGTTGTCAATCACCGGGTCTCGGGCGATAATTACTTGCTGGTGCCCAGTGATTTCTGAAGATCTCCGATGGGGAGGAGGACTGTTTTGTTTACTAACAGTTCTCCCTGTCAGCTCGGGCACACTGTTTTGGATGGCTGTGCACAGGACAGCCATCCAGAGCAGTGTGATTACAGTGAAGCACACAGACACAGCCCCCTAGTAAAACACTCCCTGCACTCAGTTAACCCTTTTTTCGCCACTCATGTTAACCCCTTCCTGCCCAGTGCCATTAGTACAGTGTCGGTGCTTTTTATTAGCACTGATCACTGTATTGGTGTCACTGGGGATGTCAGTGACACCAAGTCAGTTCCACCCAGTGTCAGAATGTCCTCTGCAGTCCTGTTGATCACCACCATTACTAGTAAAAAAAAAAAATCCCAGAATATATACCACCATTTGTAAACGCTATAACTTTCAAGTAAATCAATTAATTTATACGCTTTGGGATTTTTTTTTTAGCAAAGACATGTAGCAGAATAAATTTTGGCCTACATTTATGATGAAATGTGATTTTTTAAAATCTTTTACTGAGCATGTTTAATAGCAAAAAGTAAAAAATATAGTTTTTTTTCTCAAAATTGTCGGTCTTTTTTTTATTGCGCAAACAATAAAAAAGCCACAGCTATCAAATACCACTGAAAGAAAGATCAATTTGTGGGAAAAAAAGGACGTAAATTTCATTTGGGTGCAGCATTGCATGACAGCAAAATTGTCAGTTAAATTACCAAAGCGCCGTAACGCAAAAAATGGCCTGGTAAGGAAGGGGGGTAAATCCTCAGGAGGGTAAGTGGTTAAATGTAACAATGTTTCTGGTTTATCAATATGTAATTGCTCAATTTACATAGAATATGAAAGCTTGTTATAATATTATAACCTACCTGTGCAACATTGAGCCAGCTATACAAGACATTTTAGTAGTTCGGTCACTATACCAAAATTATGACCTGAAGTTCTGGATTGTTGTATGTACAATTTGCAGAGCAATTACATGATGTTCTGTGCACCTTACTGAACTATAAAAGAGAGCACGTGATCTGTGATCCTTCCTTTTGGTCAGCAACACGTGAATACCGTGTTTTGAACACACCAAACCTAAGAAAAAAATGCTATAACAACATAAAATAAAAACTAATATTCCCCCAATAAAATTAAAACCCCAAAATATCACTGCCCTGAAAAAGCTCTATTTGTTATTGCTTTATCTTTTTTTATTTATGTTTTTTAACCACTTAGACTGCCTGCCCGCAATGTACTGTGGATGGGCAGCAGCTACACGACCAGAGACGTAAACGTATGTCGTTCTGTTTTCTGTGTTTGAAGCATGCATGAGCACACCCTCCCCTCCGCTAACCCCTACCATCATTCGCTGCAGGACATGTTTGTCAGCAGGTCTTGGCCAATGATTTTTGGCCAGGCCTCTGCTGCTCTCCTGCAATGAATGGAGAAGCAGAGCTGTGCCTGTATTTGTAAATACAGGCACAGGATCTAGCTGGATCTTCTCTCCATGGAATCTTTTTTTCAGGGAGAGAATAAAGACATGTGCATAAAAGAAGCACATTTGCACCCACATAATAGTTAGATACATATAAACCCCTTGATTGCAATTTAACCCTTTTCTTGCCCCAGTCACCCTACCAGTGCCATTAGTACAGTGTCAGTGTATAGTATTTTTCACTGATCACTGTATTACTGTCACTAGTGACGTCAGATAGCATCAGAGTCAGTTAGAGCCCTTCCCAGCTAGGGTTAGCTAGTGTTAAATTTCCCGCACACCATCGCACTCACGCTATAGGTTGCTGATCACCGCCATTACTAGTATAGTGTTTGTACGGATCAATATATTGCCCACGAACATAATTATACTAGTATCAGTGTCCCCAAAAACACAGATTTAGCAGGATCAGCCCCGTTCGCTGCCAGCACTTGCGTTTAGCCCCCTCCGCCCCCTACCCACCACTTACAGTAATGCAGGCCATAGATGGGTAGAAAATCGGCCGATTTTTCAGCCGAAAATAAAATCGTCCGATTTTCGGATCATTAGTGGGCTAATTGTTCAGCCGTTTTTTGGTATATTGGCAGATTTTTTTTATCGGTAAAGTTGGAAAAAAATTGGCCGATTGTGCCGATCGGACGAGTTTCGCGGCAATGATGGGCAAATCGGCCGATCTTTTTACCGATAAAAAAATCTGCGCATGAGCAGTGACCTGCAAGAGGAAGACAAAAAGAAGAAGAAAAAAAGAAGAACAAGAAGAAGAAGAGGAAGAGGATGAAGAAGAGGATGAAGAAGAGGAAGAAAAGAGGAAGAAGAAAGGGGGAAGAAGAAGAAGAAGAATAGGAAGAAGAAGAGGATGAAGAAGAAGAAGAACAAGAAGAAGAAGAAGAAGAAGAGGATGAAGAAGAGGATGAAGAAGAGGAAGAAAAGAGGAAGAAGAAGGGGAAGAAGAAGAAGAGGAGGAAGAAGAATAATAGGAAGAAGAAGAGGATGAAGAAGAGGATGAAGAAGAGGAAGAAGAAGAGGATGAAGAAGAGGATGAAGAAGAGGAAGAAGAAGAGGAGGAAGAAGAAGAATAGGAAGAAGAAGAGGATGAAGAAGAAGAGGATGAAGAAGAAGAAGAGGATGAAGAAGAAGAAGAGGATGAAGAAGAAGAAGAAGAAGAAGAGGATGAAGAAGAGGATGAAGATGAAGAAGTGGATGAAGAAGAGGAAGAAGAATAGGAAGAAGAAGAATAGGAAGAAGAAGAGGAAGAAGAGGATGAAGAAGAGGATGAAGAAGAGGAAGAAGAAGAGGATGAAGAAGAGGAAGAAGAAGAGGAGGAAGAAGAAGAAGAGGAAGAAGAAGAGGATGAAGAAGAAGAATAGGATGAAGAAAAGAATGAAGAAGAGGATGAAGAAGAGGAAGAAGAAGAGGATGAAGAAGAAGAGGAAGAAGAGGAAGAAGAAGAGGAAGAAGAAGAGGATGAAGAAGAGGAAGAAAGAAGAAGAGGAGGAAGAAGAAGAATAGGAAGAAGAAGAGGATGAAGAAGAAGAACAGGATGAAGAAGAGGAAGAAGAGGATGAAGAAGAGGAAGAAGAAGAGGAAGAAGAAGAGGATGAAGAAGAGGATGAAGAAGAGAAAAAGAAGAAGAAGAAGAATAGGAAGAAGAAGAGGATGAAGAAGAAGAATAGGAAGAAGAAGAGGATGAAGAAGAAGAATAGGAAGAAGAAGAGGAAGAAGAAGAAGAAGAAGAGGAAGAAGAGGAAGAAGAAGAGGATGATGAAGAGGAAAAAGAAGAGGATGAAGAAGAGGATGAAGAAGAGGAAGAAGAAGAGGAAGAAGAAGAGAAGAAGAAGAAGAAGAAGAGGATGATGAAGAAGAGGAGGAAGAAGAAGAATAGGAAGAAGAAGAGGATGAAGAAGAAGAAGAAGAGGATTAAGAAGAGGATGAAGAAGAAGAGAAGGAAGAAGAAGAATAGGAAGAAGAAGAGGATGAAGAAGAGGATGATGAAGAAGAGGATGAAGAAGATGAAGAAGAGGATGAAGAAGAAGAGGAAGAAGAAGAAGAGGATGATGAAGAAGAAAAGGATGATGAAGAAGAAGAGGATGAAGAAGATGAAGAAGAGGATGAAGAAGAAGAGGAAGAAGAAGAAGAGGAATTCCAGTCCGGCAAAAATGTCCCTGCAGAGAGCTCCGCTATTTCTTTGACAGTTCCTTGACATTTATAGCAGTTGCAACAATGTATTTATTTGTTTCTGAATAAAAACATCTGTATCCTAAATGGATACAAATACATTGTTGCAACCGCTATAAATGTCAAGGAACTGTCAAAGAAATAGCAGAGCTCTCTGCAGGGACACTTTTTGCCGGCTGTAGACGGGATGAAAATGGGCCGATTTTTTTTACCGTTGCTGGTAACGTCGGCCGCTTGAACGACCGATTTTTTTTTTTTAAAAGAAAAATCGGCTGATTTTCGACCCATCTATGGCCTGCATAAGTGTAGTGTCAGTGTAATTTCTGATCACTGTCACCTGTGATACATTGCACACAAAACCACAGTGTTAGCAATCACCAGGTGTTCCAATCACCTCCATGGCCACAGGTGTATAAAATCAAGCACCTAGGTGTGCAGACTGCTTCTACAAACATTTGTGAAAGAGTAGGTCACTCTCAGGAGCTCAGTGAATTCAAGCGTGGGACCGTGACAGGTTGCTCTACCTGTGCAATTAGACCATTCGTGAAATTTCCTTGCTACTAAATATTCCATGGTAAACTGTTAGGAGTATTATTACAAAGTGGAAGCATCTGGGAACAACAGCAACTCAGCCTTGAAGTGGTAAGCCACGTAAAATGACAGAGCGGGGTCAGTGCATGCTTAAGAGCACACTGCACAGAAGTCGCCAACTGCCTACATTGTCAAGGTGTCAGCATACCAAGACAATTTGGACAATTTCATGCTCCCAACTTTGTGGGAACAGTTTTGGGGTGGCCCCTTCCTGTTCCAACATGACTGTACACCAGTGCACAAAGCAAGGTCCATAAAGACATGGATGAGTGAGTTTGGGGTGGAGGAACTTGACTGACCTCAACCCAATAGAACACCTTTGGGATGAATTAGAGCAGAGACTGCGAGCCATACCTTCTCATCAGATATCAGTGCCTGACCTCACAAATGTGCTTCTGGAAGAATGGTCAAACCTTCCCATAGACACACTCCTAAACCTTGTGGACATCCTTCCCAGAAGAGTTGAAGCTGTTATAGCTGCAAAGATGGGCCAACTCAATATTGAATCCTACGGACTAAGATTGGGATGCCATTACAGTTCATGTGTGTGTAAAGGCAGGCGTCCCAATACATTTGGCAATATAGTGTTATGTGCCAAACAGGGACCAGTGATGTACTGCTACTTTGCTGGATTTTGAGTGGTTATACCAGGATGATGCTTGCAGTTACAGACATCATCCTGGTATCGTTTTTTTCAGACGGCAGTCAGCTTTCATGTAAAAGCAATCCTAGTGGCTAATCAGCAATTTGTTTCTTTTTAAAAGCAGCGGGAGCGGACCTCCCCCCCTCCCCAACCACCTTCCATGGCTTTCTCAGGCTCTCCTATCCCACCGCTTCTGCCTGCTCATTCTACCTACTGACCATAGAGCGGCTAAGAAGCCTGAACAGCTCCAATCATCTCCATGGTCT